GGTCAACCAATGAGGTACCTTTTGCTTAATGTGTGGGTTTCCATAAAGGTATCAGCATATGAGAAAGAAACAATAGGAACCATCATAACAACTCTAGAATTAAGTCCAGTGGTGCATTCGAGCAACTTTTCAAAAGACAAAGATCTCATTCTGGCCCGGCATTGACTAACGGTACACTCAAAACGCTACACTGAAAAGCCGAGTAAGATGATTACTTATTTTTACAGTGCTGCCCCCCTCCCTGCAAACTTTTAAACCAGTTATATGTTTCCATGACCACTGTATTTTAATATAGAATAGGTGATTAAACTTAACGGGTATTTGGGATTTGCATGATTTATGCTCTATAATGGAGATTACACCAGTTGCCGATAGGTAATGTAAATAACCGAATTACTTTGAGATAATCTTGAGATTATTGTAAGTAAATTAGCCATAGGGACCAATAGTTGTCCTCAAATTTAATTAGATCGTCTTTATAACGGATTTAGTATATATCTGTGTAGTAAAATTTTGGGAGCTGAAATAACAGGGTCTCTTATAGCAAAAGTCGTTCACAGAATGTTTTAATGTAATATTTCAATAATTTTTCCGTCACGCTTTTATGTTAACATGTACAACAGAAGTATAAACGAGAGCGATAAACACGTAAATATCAATAAAATGGTAAAATGAAATAACAGTTAAAATGACGACCATGATTAGTCGTCTAATGAAGCGTGTCGTGTTCACGTGCGTCGTCCTTGTTTTTCACTTTTCAAGTTGTCTTTATACATTGTTCTACGCTAATGTCTGGCGATATTGTGTCAACTGTTGCGAGACGGACAATCGAGGAAGCAGTCGTTTCGTTGTTGTTATTGACTATACGCATCAGCAAACAGGTTAAGTTAAATGCTATTGAATTATATATAATTGAGGTTGAAAAAATGGGCGGGCACAATCATTTTGCGGTGTACCTGTAAGACTACCAAAGGATTATTGTTAATAATGCTCGTAGACCTCATTAATTTCCTAAACAGCCGAATCAATCACAGTGGATGCCTCAGGTTGTAACGTATTGAAAAACGCCAATTCTGAAAATATGTGGATGTCATTTTGTGTCTGAACAGCCAAACATGACAAAGAAAGATAGTATAGATTATGTGCAAAGTGTCAAATTACCGATGATACACGTAAGTTTGGGATCAATATATATATATATATATATATATATATATATATATATATATATATATATATATATATATATATATATATATATATATATATATATATATATATATATATAGACACACACACTGTTTTGACTATATGTTATGCTCGGTGACAAAATATTTTAATAGTATAACTGTAAGTTAGTATGTTTGTTAAATTTGCACTCAGCTTTTTGATGTGGTTGTGTAGCAGTTGACTGAGGGACAGACAATATACACAACATATAATATATTTAAAGACGAATGTAAGGCTCAGTGATCATCAATGTAATAAATCGAGGGCACGATGGCAAAATGCCCTTTATAAACTAATATTTACCATTTTCGAAATGGAGCTGAAACCGTAATCACATAGAAATTTCTGCCATATAATACTATTTTCTGTCCATACTTTTAAATGTTTATAATGTGTGGATATCAAATAAATATGTTGAAAATTTCATATCTTCAATAATCTCCACTAAAATATATCAATTGTTTTTTTTATATATTGCTGCTGATGACGTAATATGAAATTCTTTTATTTATTAATTCAAAGAATTTTGCACCGTATATGATTTTTTTTTACAATATTGCTACAATTACACATGAACATAATAAGAAATGAACATCATATAGTAAAACATTAACAAAATATAATAGAATACACTCAACATATAATAAGCAATACAAAGCTTATAGCAATAAATGTGTAAATGTGTAATTCTTTCCGCATGTAATAAAGACGGACCAGTTAAGACAGCTGTGGCGTTTCATAAAAACCCATTATGTTGGTTTTTATAACATATGCAATCGACACGTCCCATGTTTATACAGAAGATGTACCCGACTTGCGGTGACTGTTCTTGTAGATTTATCTCCCATGAATTTTATCGGTAATATGTTCTCTCAACGGACAAGTCGAAACTAGTAAATGATATCGACCGCCAGATGACGCATTGATGCCTATGTTCAATCTTCGATTCAGTATTTGCTAGATTGACTGATTTATTGAATGATTCAAAAAGCATAGGTGTGCACGTAGTCAGTGTACACGTTGTTGTCGGTTCTACTCTTTAATTACCCTTTAGATTTTCCATTTTAGTCGTCATCTTCTTTCATTGTGTGGTACCAGTCTATCCCTTCAAGGCACCGGCAATATTAATTATAGGTAACAATAATAACTGGATAGACAGATAAACTATTAGTTCTAGTTAGACAATCCATGCCGTGCCTATTTTTCCCATAATACCTTCTGTACTTGTCATTCCATAAAACTACGTTGTTTGCCTTTACGTTAATTTAGTTTTCCATACTACTTTAAATTAATATTTGAAATCTACCGAACAATTATTATAGTTCAAAATCTTCCATTTCACATAAGAAGCACACTACGAGAGAGAGAGAGAGAGAGAGAGAGAGAGAGAGAGAGAGAGAGAGAGAGAGAGAGAGAGAGAGAGAGAGAGAGAGAGAGAGAGAGAGAGAGAGAGAGAGAGAGAGAGAGAGAGAGAGAGAGAGAGAGAGAGAGAGAGAGAGAGAGAGAGAGAGAGAGAGAGAGAGAGAGAGAGATGACAAGACTCAGCAACCTTTTTCTCAATTAATTTTATATTCTGTTAACAATTTCAGTTACAATTACATGGTTTCTCTGATTAAATGTTTGCCATGCTAGGCATTTATCGCAACAATGAAACAGAGGAACTATTTTGTATTGCATATTATTCAACACAACCTTACGTCGACCTAGATATGGAAGTCCCAAATCTTTCACATATATTGCGCAATTAATGTTTTGTTTTGTTCAAGACAACAACACTTATAAACTTTTCAAAATTGACATTATTTTCGGCCTCGTTAGTGTTATGTAACATATAGATCAGCCACAAATCAAACTTGAGTTGAACTGCGTTTAAAATAATCTGCCTAGTAAAACAGAAACCTATATGATAAATATTATGTTTAACGTTAAATGTGTACGCCCAGGCTAGCGGTACCAACGCTGTTTATGGCGAAACAGGTCCACTTTCCACCGTACGTTGTGCTGGTGTAGGAGTCAATCATCACCTTGGTTTCATCTGAGCTGTAATGAATCGTAGGTGGGACGTAGGAAAAACCCAAATTCTGAAAAAGTTGATATTCCAAATAATAATAATAATAATAATAATAATAATAATAATAATAATAATAATAATAATAATAATAATAATAATAATAATAATAACAACAACAACAACAACGATCACAAAATATTCCATGATTGGAACAGATGTCTCTTTCAAATTAAAATCAATTAAAATGCTTCCTTCGTAACACCCAAACTACCTCTCTCAACAACATCTCCGGACAGTTACTTGGGGTCCAGAACTCGATATACATTACGAACATAAAGTAGTCTGGAAACAATGTCGCTTTTCTATATGGTATTACAAAATCTACCTTCTTTTCATCTTTTTAAGTTTTCAAAGACTGAAGTTCATTCCATGCTAAAATATCATCAAATGCCATTGGTACTACGATGATATCGTTAGTTAAAGTTCTATCTTTGAGCATTTTCATTGATGTTCCCTCGTCTTTCCCATCACCACTCCCGCCCAGCAAGACCTTACATAATGAATAGGGTAGACTTGAATATATGGTGTAATGACCTCGTTGAATATTTGTCTACGTCTTTCCCTTCAAAATCGAAGTTAGAGGAGTTATTTTGAATTTTGCAGTCTATAACTTGCATCCACGTGAGTGAAAGTATAGATCACATAAACCGTAACATAATCGAAGTGCAATCAGCGTCAGTGCTGTTTGTTTTACACTACTAATGGAACTAACACCTTTGATACTGCTTATCCATTTTATTACACTATCTAGTCTAAGTTATTTGCATTTGTGGAACTTTCTGGGCAATTATTCAAAATGCAAGCAAGACTGAGATATTATTTCGTCCCCATGCCGCATGCCGCGCAGCACCAAGGTAGGATTTTCGTTAGCCCGTTGTGCTAATGTTTTTGTTTTTTGCTGAAGTTTCAAGGTGGCAGTGTATTTTGTATAAACACTAATTTTATGAATAATCAATTTGGATATTGAGCAATCGTGCAAATGTTGCGTTCTTTACATCTGTGTATGTCCAGTGAACTTCAGGAATCGGATTTCCTGTAGCATTGCAAGAGAGAATAACTTTGTTCCCGTCTACTGGAGATGGCGGTGATGACGTCACGCTATAAATTGCAGGTTTCTCTGGAAAAAGAAAACAATAGGACAATTAAATTCCACGGTAACTGATACATATGTTTCGAAAAAGCTTTCTACTTTTCATCAGATGAATATTATCGACAGAAACATTTGATCAGTGTTTTATATTACGAGATGTTAATTGCAAGAAAAATACTTCCCTTCCAAAATGAACAAATACGTCCATATACTATTTATCTGGTATATGGCAGAAATGAAATCAAACTGAATAAATTTTGGAGACATACTGCAACCAACAATTATATATATATATATATATATATATATATATATATATATATATATATATATATATATATATATATATATATATATATATATTTGAAATAAATTTGCCGCTTCGAGACTTGTACCTGATGGCTGACCGCGGCCGGCTCCTCACAGAAGGAGGCCCTTAAAGTGATGTTTTATTTGTGCCACCTCGATTCCAAGGAAAGGTGCAAACCTTTTTGCATTTAATGCCATTTTGTAACAATCTTGCACAATTTTTAGTTGCTTTAAATCCCGTCAATACCCACTTTTACGACGTGGACATTTATATACACCATTATTAATCTGTGTGGGAAAAGTTCAGGTGGCCTAGTGGTTAGAGCGTGCGCCTCGGATGCGGTCGGTCATGGGTTCGATCCCAGGTCGAGTCATACCAAAAGACTTACAAAAATGGTACTAACAACTGCGTCGCTTGACGCTCAGCATTAAGAGGTTAGTGTTAGGACTAGTCGGCCTGGTATCGGGATAATGTGACTGGGTGGGACATCATTCTATATATCTGCGGCATGATGCTTCAGCGCTAGACATCACTATAAATTGCCAAAGTGCAGACGTCGTAGCGATATGACTGATAAACTGTTAAAGCTACGTCAAAAATCATAATGACATCAATTAATCAGTTTGGGATATATACACTCACATGTAAATGACCGTACAATCAGGCCATTCTGTGGCTTGCCACAGGTTTACGCCATGTAGCTGAAAACTAGCAAGTACAATGCTGATGCGGATCAAATGTGTGATTGATCTTCGATGAAATATGGATGTAGTACCCAACAAAATTAAACGCTTCCAGGTGCCTTCTCAATTTAAGTTTTAAAAAAGAATTAACTATGGCAGCAGTCGTAACAATACTTATTGTGAAACATTTGTGTTTGGTTCATAAGAGAAAGAAGAAAGTGGTATTACTTTGTAATTAATAATAACTGTCTCCGTTTTGAATAAAGTGGTCACGCTCGCCGACAATCGGCCTTACTTAATTTAATAAAATGGGAGAGTGCTGAAATTTAGATAATTTTAATATTTTTACCTCGTGCTTTATGACTAATTATATGTAGGGCAGTTTAATGCATCATGTTTGCATGTATTAGGCAACTGATAATTTGCGGTGGATGAAGCTGGATGAGCGAGTGTTTTTTGATATTGAAACTCATCAGCAAAGTAAAATACTCTTTACATGTATTTATTAATTAGTAGCTCTAGGAAACTATACTGCAGTATACTGCCAGATGGTGCCTGATTACCTATTAAATATGTTAAGTACGTGATTAGAGTACCATACAATTTCAGATTAATTATTGATGATAAATTGGATGAACTGTATACAACGATTTCGATCAGCATGGAAGAATATTTCGATTTGGAATGATAACAAAACTGGTATTTTCCCACCTTTTTAGCTTTTAATATTGTTTTGTTTTAGCTTTACATTTTGTCGGAAATGGTGAATACCATAATATTTTCAGTGCTTAAAGTCCCTGGAAGGCCATCCGGCACTGATGCCGGATTATACATGATGACTTAAAATACTACTTACATGAAACTGTTTAATGTAGCACAACACATGCTTGACAAACAAAATTGTCAGATACTGTAGTGAGGTATACAGTAAGATTATTCATATGGTCTTGAACACACTGTTTACATGGAAGAAAATAGTGTGTGGGACATTTGCAGCAATTCTCAGCGATAAATGCAATGCCATGATTTAAAGGATCACCTTACTTAACATAAGCAAGGCGAAATGTATAGATATTGCTTTGTGATTTGTGCAATTTTGGTTTGCCATTATTTACAATTATACGCTTGCTAATTATGAAACCATACAGATGCAACTAACTCGAACATTAATGGTGCACAACAGTTAAAACTATCGAAGAATGGTGATTCCACGTGAGGCCGTTGTTTTTTTATGATACGCTTTACATGCGCACAAAAACATGCCGACGAAGCTATAAAATATTCATCTCAGAGATATAAAGCACTCTTGAAAGTTTCTCAACGTTCAAGCCATAATAGAGCGCAAACGCATGTTTGGCGTCGCTGAAGAGTACATCTGAGTGAAAACAATACATCACATTGTGATGATATGTTATAAATAGGCCTTAGGTTTCTCCGTGTTAAAAATATAAGCATGAGAGCAAGAAACATGTCGTCTTAGTCGTTTTGGTTGTCCCATTATTTCAGTGGTTTTTGTTGTTTCATAAAGAAGCTCAATAGCGCCAGGTTAAAAAAATTAGCTTTTCTGTGAGATAGTATATTGTAATTACGAGATAGTATTGTGGTATTACGAGATAACTTTACGTTAACACGAGAGAGTATTGTGTTAATACAAAATAATATTGAGTTATTAAGAGATCGTATGAAGTTATTACGATATAATATTGAGTTATTAAGAGATAATATTGCGTTATTACGAGATCATATTGCGTTATTGCGAGATAACATTGCGTTATTACGAGACAGTTTGAGTTATTACGATATAGGATGGACACAATTTCTGATACATAGGATTTTCACGTAGAATGATTTACAGAAGATGGCAGATATATTGGACATATATACTTTGATAAGATTCTTTTTTAGATTAAATCTTTGACAAAAATATGCACTAGAACATTTAGCATATATTCATCAAATTTGTAAGGAGACGTATAAAAGCTTGCAAATTGCTTCTTCCAATTGGATTCACGGTACTAATTCAGCTCCCATAGTAAACCTATGCAAACACCATTATATTCAAATTTCAATAACTTGAAATTTCTGAGTACTCATATTATTAGTAGAGCTGGAACATTAGTATGGGTTACATCCCAGGGAAAAATGTTTGCGTGTATTGCAATTGATGTAGCAGATACTTGGGTCTAATTCAAGATATACATACCACCCTTCTCCCACAACAACTTGAAACAACCCCTTCTTTTTCGTAATTATATAAAGCCAGAAAAATTGATTGTACGTGACCTATGCATGTATAAATCCCTTGCAATGGGCATGGAAAACTATATTCTTGTGAACTATATGATTTGTGTAGAAGGACGCCTTATTTACGGACCAGTCATATTGCTTGTTTTTTTCTGTGCCTTTATCCATGAAGAGTCCGTAATCCAGTTGAATGTGAGTGCTCCAGAGGGAGCACGCATAATAATTTCGCCACGGAAACGGCATATACCACTGCCATGGACAGAAAGACATGAGTTTGTTTTTGTTGTGTACTTCTATGTATTTGTGAGTCAATCACTTCTCATGCACACGTTAAAATTGAATCGTGTTAGGGCAAACGGAAGAATGATACATCCAAGTTACAGACTCGGGCTTACTTGGGCTTGAATAGAGCCTGTATGCCTTGGTCAGATACTATACCATGTGAGGTAGCCTTATAAGAGAACATGTTGTTATCCACAATTTATATGAAGAGCTGTAATACTTTTGAAATATATTTTGACAAATGTTGCAAATTACATTGAAAATTGTTACAACCCAAGTCATCTATTGCATCGAAGTTTACAATTCTAATGCATATATTTACGTATATGGCGACTTCTCAATGAAGTTGTTAATTTATCCTTGATTGTAGAGATTATTAAAGAAAAGTCAGACAGAGGCACAAGCTACAAATTATGATAAATCTAGACGAACAATTTAAATTCTATCATCATTCATTGCTAAAATCTTTAAAACTTCTTAGGTATTTAGAAATTTTAAAAGATAGCGCTGTAAACAAAACGGCCTAAAATTATTTAAAATAACTTTTACCAGCGGTAAAAGCCTTTTATTTATCCCTTGGAGGAAAATGGAATAATTTCCGATGTTATCAATCCCTATATTGTTGTGATTTTGAGCTTGATGAGAAACAAGTATTAGGTTTTCTAGAAAACATTTTGTCTTTTCGTTCAATGAATTGGGTGTTGAGGTGAAGAAGATTGATGTATACAGTTAGTAGATTGGGACCTTACGGAAGAGAGTTCATGGAGGATGTGTATATATTTTCTCAAGTTTATTTCTAGTGCGTTTTACCAGAACGTCTATAATAAGATGGAGTGACAGTACAGAAAAACGATCTTGTCTTCAAGGCCATTCGACCAACTCAACCATACGAAATTCAAACCCAAGATGCAATTGCTACTTTGTATTTCTAGTGTCGCAGTATTAACATGTGATCCATTCTACTTTGGGCAGAAGGAAACAAATTGTTTGACCCATTATATCAATGAATGAATTCGTGCTGAAAATCAGTTGCAGTAGCTGCTATATCGTCATTATTTTGGAAAGAAAATAATAACTTCTTGTCAAACAGAAACTGTGCTCAAGACAATTTCTTTTTGGGACAGTATAGACAGGATTCATTTATAAATGTGCACTGGGAAATGCATTATCATTGTTTCTGACAGAGACTAGAGATTTTGAGTGGCTAGTAATATGCAGATTTTACCGACTGGGAATGTTACCAATGAGACCTTCCCTTCTACTCGATATCAGAAAACGGGAGATCTTATCGAATATAAGCCTATTATGTAAGCAGTGAGTCGGTAAATTGCCATATGTTCTTTATGTCGTTATTACCATCTAATGGTACGTTTCTCTCGTAACTGGACTAAATCTGCTTGTATAATCTTGGCCAATACTATGACCAAAAAGGTATCATTTACGAACAACTGAGAATTTTGATTTGAACTTATATGCCTTGATGCATTCTTTTATATTGGGTTCATGGTAGGAAACCCAAAGGAAAATGGCAAAACTTCGAATCGTTATCGGTGTCATTGATTCAACGATGATTGACTTAGAGGTTTAAAAAAACATTTTACGTGTTCCCTTAACAGCATGCTATTATATGCTTTAAACCCCATATAGCCCATTTTCAGGATGCTTATTAAAGACAAAATAAAGAAAGTACAAATAATGCTAAAAGTGTATAAAGTACTTACATTAGCTGAGATTCTGACAGACTGGTTTCTTGCAATCAGAAGTTTCAGTTAACTTCCACTAGTTATGTTTATGTTCAGTTCTTTTTGCAAGATATATGTCAAAGTAAATGGATTAAACCGGTTAAAAAAGAACAAAACAAAACAGAAGCGTGTAAAGTAACGAATAATTTATCTAGAACCAGACACCATAGTTGCCTAATATGAGCAATGATCGATTATTTGCAAAAACAGAATCGATACCAAACAATGCCTGATTCAGGCATGATCAAAAGGTGCAAATAAACAAAAATAGGACACATTGACGAGTCGTACATGAAAGAGAGACACCGACACTGGTAACCTACCTGCGCACATTGTCCCATTTGAGCAACAATGTTGCATTAAATCAAAGTTAATACTTTTGGATTAGATCAAAGTATGGAGGTCTTTGTTTGAACTTGAAA